TGGTTAGGAGAAGGGTCAGGTCACAGAGGGCTTTACAGACCTTGGAAAACTCCGCCTCTTCTCTGAGGAAGGTGGGAGCCGTGGAGTGTTCTAGCGTGGTGAGCTGTGGTCGGCCTTAGGGTTTCATAGGATCACTCTGGCTGTGAAGCAGGGAATACCCTGTGGGGCCAAGGGCAGACTCAGGGACACAGTAGGCTGCTACAGAGACCCGGTTCCCACGCACTGTGGCCCACCACACCGCCTCCCTCTGTGCCTCAGTATCTCAGCGGTCTTCTGCAGCCTTGGCCCCGCCCCACTTCCTACTGCTGACCACAGCGCTTAGCCGCCATGGCTTCATCTGGGGAATGCGGGTTGCCGGGAAGATGAACCGGGACCGTATGGCTGCCAGGCATAAATGAGTGGCCCTTCCCTTGTGAGGAAGAGGATGTCCCATCCGAGAGCTGACAGCTGACTTCCTGCAGGCAGGCCTGGGACCAGCTCCCACGCCCGGAGCCTGTCTGCGCCACCTGTACCCTCCCCAGCGGCTGATGCAACTAGCGTGGAGGAGGTGCTCCAGAAGCTTTGGAAAGGATACTGAAATTTCCCGTGACTTTAACCTGCATAGAAAAAATATATATGTGTGCACGGCTGAGAAATCACCTTAAAATTTTGCTCTGGTGCTCGTGGGAGAGCTGGGCGGGCTCAGGCTGGGATGGGTTGGGGAGGTTCTGCGCTGGCAAATGAAGGGCAGAGGCTGACTCCCCCTGCGGAGTGACAGCACCCCTACCCCCGCTCTTTCTTCTCCCAGGGCTCACGCCTTCCTCCCCTTTACAGGAAGAGGGCACTTCAAGCTGTCAGCGTCAGCGCCTGTGCGCCTGGCCTGGGGGCTTTCTCCCGTGCCCAGGGGGCAGCTAGCAATCTGGGGAATTGGGGCCAGCAGATGGTGTAGGGGTTATGTCGCTGGACTCCCACCTAGCCGACTGCAGTTTGAGTACTGGACCTGGCGGCTTGAAACTCACACTGGGTGCATGTGCATGCGTGCCCAAAATCCCGGGAGGAGAATGGAAGAGAAGGGATTGCTTATGGCCATCCCTGCTGGGAGGCGATTTCTCACTTTCCCTCTCACTGTCTCTGTCTCTCTTGTGAGCGCATGCGCCCTAAGGCAAAAACCTCTAATTAAAAAAAAAAAAAAAAAAAAGGAAATCTGGGGAACTAATATACTTCACCCAATGACTCATGGGAGCTGGTGTATAAATACCCCCCAGCGCACAGTGGGAACTTGACCAAGCGTTCACCATTTTGGAAACTCGCGTCACTGTGGTAATACGACTCACGATGGCCAATGCGTCTCCCCTGAGCCATCTGCACATGAATCTGCATTACATAGACAGTTCTACACGGGTGTCTGAACATGCCGCCCACTCGTCCCGTGTCATTTTATTCTCCTGGCCAATCACATCTGCTTTCAGTTGGAGCAATGCCTCATCCCTTTCTTACATCCTCTGGTAGAGCCACGTTGAATGAGCCTTCCGCACTGAAACACATATATATCTTCTTAGTTTTCCTGAGAGTACTTGAGCCACCAGAGACTGAGAGACAGAGAGACAGAGAGAGAGGGAGAAAGCACCTCTCCATGGGGTGTGGTCACACTGCAGTCCCTTCTCCTACAGGTCTCTATCCTGTTAGGATTTAGGGCACACATGCACATGCACCCAGCATGTTCCTCAAGCTGCTGGGGCCAGGATTCGAACTGCAGTCAGCTCCCAGGCCATGGAGCTGGCCCGAAACACCTTTTGTTGCCCTTGTTATTTTATTCTTCCTTTACGCTGTAGTTACAGTTCGGATGGTTTATTATGAATTTATTTTGAAAGCGTTATGCAGATGGGTTAGATTAGTGATTTTATTTCAAGAGATAAAGGGTCAATCACAAATGGTTGTCATAAGAAGAGCATGGTGGGGGTGGGGCAGTGGTGCAGTGGGAACGCCATGGCCTGCAGGCTGACTGCGTGAGGAGGTTCCTGGTTATGTCCAGAGATCTCCCTGAACACACGGGCCATGTGTGTGCCCACCATCCAGGCTGGCTCGGGCTGGGGGTGGATCGTGCTGTGAGGACCCTTTTGAGACTGTTTGTCCTTGCTCTCTCTCTCTCTCTGTCTGTCTCTCTCTCATGGAAGAAAGAAACAAACTTAAAGAAAATTTTTTTTAAAGAAGAGAATTTTGCTTTGGTAGATACGAGAACTCTCAACCTGATAATCTCAGAGGCAACTTCCAGCTCTGACTCTTTGTACCTAAGGGGTAAGCCATGTTGTCCAGGGGGACACCAGGCCCATTGTCCTCATGGGAGCAGGATGATGAGGTGGAGAGGGAGGTTCAGGTCCTTCCTTTTTGTGTATCGGTCAAGCTATGCTGCAGTAACAAACAGCCCCCAAGTCTTGGTGGTTTAACCCAGCAGAGGTTTCTTTCTTACTTGTGCCAGGTGTCTAAAGGTGGCCAGCAGGGGGCTCTTCTTCACACAGTCACTCAGGGACCTTGGCTGATGGAGCCTCCGCCATTTTGCAATGTCATCTCAGGACAATGGCATAAACCAGAGTCCTGGGAAGTCTGGCACCTGCATAAAATGGTTTCACCTGGAAATGACATGGTCATACCTGCTCGGAATCCATTGGTGAGAGTGAGTCGTGTGATCACCCACAAGCCTGCTCACTAATACACCTTGAATTGGCTGCCTCTCCTGCCCCTCCTCTGGCCCCTCTCCCTATGTTCTGATGTTTCCGGGGGTCACCCTCCAAATAAATGACCTGTACCTGAACTCTTGTCTCAGGGTCTGCTTCTTGTAGAGCCCACACTAAGACACCCTCAGTCTTCATCTCTTTTTCATTAATTCATAGCCAGGTTATTGGCTAAAAATCTGCTATGTGCTGGATCTGTGCAGGCAGTGGTGGGAACAGAGCTTGGTTCAGCTACCCCTGAGCTTGTCTAGAGTTACCCAGATCACACCAAAAGTGAAGCACTTCGAAAGCTTGAGAACCTATGGCCAGCAGGTGTCATGGTGGTTAAGGCGCTGGACTCCGACATGGCCAACTGCAGTTCGAGCCCCTGACCTGGCTTGTTTTCTCACTTTCTGCCTCTCTCTCTACTGAGTGTACATGCTCTATAGCAAAATT